ATGTACTCGTGATCCATGCCTTAAATTCTGCTTTCTCTCGTCCACAGATTATACCCTATCTTGCGAGTCATTTCCGCAAAGACAAGATATGGATGCGTAGAACACAGCCTAATCAGCGTGACTACCGTATCCTCATCGCAGTAGACGATTCATCCTCAATGGCGGACAATTTGTGCCGACAGGTAGGGTGCTAGTCTTCTCATCTTTTTTCTCTTACTTGTCCGAAGATTTCCTTTCTAGAATTGATCACAATGAAATCTATAGTGTGCAAATGGACCAGTCAGAAAATTTAGTGATGAATACGTCATACTTTCTGCTAGTAAGCAATTGGTCGCATTTATAGATTGCTTGGAAGCCAGGTTGACCGTACAACTGAAATGGTCATCTGTCTAGGCTCTGGGGCTTATTTTTCCCAAATAAGGCACCATAGATGTGTCGTTCTAATTTTACCAAAAATAATATCAGGATGTTTTGCTCAAAGCCGTGCAACATGGACTGGAGTCACGGAGACTTCGTGCACAGGCATGACCACTCAAACACATTTGGTCCAAAATATCCTCATTGGACAAAGTAGTGAGGACTGCTTGAGCAAGAGATTTTTCAAGTGGAATCATCGCACCTGATTGGGCGGGTCATTGATGGAGACGTGACAGGGTGCTTTGAACGGAATTAAATAAGGCCAGTTCATGAGCAACAACTGTGTTATTTCGTCTGAGACATCATTTTGGAAAATGTCGAACACTGAGATGTCTCACGCTCCTGTCCTACTCAATGAGACATTCGTCTTCAATTTTTTTAAAGCGTTTGCATTCATTCCTTACCTCATGCCCTCACCATATCGGTTATCAATGTGATTTTGAAATAAATCGCAACATACATGCGCAGTTGGAGCATTTTGTGTAATTTAAGGTATGACACTTACTTGAAAAGTGCACAAGTACCTAGCATGGACGATTTCCCCTCGGCATTCAACTACGTTTTGTAATCCATTCAGCTCCTGTGCGCTGACACTTTAAGCTATCTTGTGTTTTGTCGAACCAGCCAGATACGTTAACTCTAGTTTTTTTTTGCCCGCTCACATATTTAACTCGGTCTTGTCCGTAAAATTTTGTTGTAGATGACATTTGAGGCTCTGGCAACTGTGGTGAGTGCTCTCCATCTTCTAGAAGCCGGAAAAATCGGAGTGTGCAGGTAAGACCACTGATACCACACATATTTTTTCCACTTGCCTGAAGTCCTATTGTTGGGCCCTCCGCCCCTTCTATTCATTCCTTGTTGATTTAAACTGTGACGCGTAACCAACGTGAACTTTTGAACGCCACAATGGAACTTTGGATATGTACTTTCTAACTCATACCCTTTTCTGAACTCTGTGGAACTGACACTCCTATCACCGTCTTTACTACGTCTCTTGTTAAGGATGTCCCTTCTGTTCAAACAACCTGAACTGAAGTCATTTGAGCAGCACTTGTTTGAAGTACTCACTATCCACGGTCTCTAGACTACATCCCTGGTTTCTGTGAACTGAGTTGGCCTCCGAAATTTGAATGTTTTGTGTGTATTCCCATGTGAAATTTGAAAAGGCAATTCGGACAACGTATGTTTTCAGTAACTCGTCATCGGGCCCATACCACTACATAGATAATGAAAATATGAAGAGGGAACTTTTCAAATTTGAATGCCCTAAACACTTCATATCAACGGCCAAACAGTCTCATAACGCCGTTGTGGTAATAAACGGGGTGTAGTGTGGATGCATCCTCAGCCGGATACAATTCGGCCCCATGGATTCAATGGACATCTGTCGAGTCCATTAACTAATCCTCTACGGCAAATCGTATACACACACCTCAGTCCTTAATTGTCTTTCACAGTGTCCTAGGCCTATTAAAGCATATATGTGCCACCATAATTCAGTTTGGCTGGAGCGACTTGCTCCGCTATGCAGTAATTGCTTTCTATTGAGACACTGTCGCCCTTTCGGTACAAAGCTATTGTCCGCTGAATGCAAACTAACTGGATTTTTTTTTCGTTTTAGTTTCGGTGAGTCTGTCCGCGTGGTGCATGGCCTTGGAGAGCCCTGGAGCAATGAAATGGGTGCCTCCATGCTATCTGCCTTCACTTTCACCCAGACACGCACATTGCTCACCGAGGTGAGTTGCCTTCGGTCCTTTTTTCTCTCGAGCCTCCCAGCTCCACCATTTTGTCTTATGCTGCAGTCTTGGTATGCAGACTCTTGAACGAAATTGACATGGTTTTAGGTCCTACTTTTGCCCTATGAACACAGCAGTCATTACAAAACTTTGGTTTTTTTTCTTTTTTTATCCAAATTTAGCTCCTGCTCACGTCCCTCTCCATTATGCAATCGGCTGGACAGGGAGGTTCAGCGAGCCGGTTACCCACTAGTCAACTCCTGCTCATCCTCTCCGATGGTGTATTCTCCGAGGACCCGCAGAGTTCCACATTGCAGGCTGCAGTACGAATGGCCCGTGATGCGAATCTCTTCGTCGTCTGCATCATTATTGACGATGCCAGGAAGAAGGTACGAACACATCTGGATGCTTTTTTACCGTATTTGAGGGGAGGCCAAGCATTATTGGGAAAGAGCCACCTCTCTTTAATTTATTGGAATGACACGTTATTTACTGCGAACCGATGTCAACATAGGAAGCTGATTTGTAATGACTGAAAGACCAGAATCCACCGTATTCATCCACTCCTCCCCCTTTTTGCGAGGCGTGCTGAGAGGCTTCTCTGAGGTTGTTGTTTGTCACTTTGCCCCTAAAGTGGTCCACGCGGTGGATGCTTTGGACCAGCACAGTGGCCATGGTAAGCAATATCGGGT